GAGGGGCTCTCCTGGCTGAACGGGGTCTCTCTGCTTCCAGGGTCTCGATGTAAGGTTTGGGGATTCATAAAATGTCAGCTTATCATAAGCAAAAATCTTCTTTAGAAGGGTCCTCCAGACAGCACCGGATGGAAATGCGTGTGAGCAGACGTCCGAAGTCTGAGTTACTTTTCTCCACGTTACTTTCATTGGGTGCTGGGTCCTTTCGTACCTGAACCCTGTGGAGAGGGGGCCCTGCACCGAATCGGTCCGAGCGTCCCGGACGCCGGGGGACTAGAGGACGGCCAGGTTCCTGTTAGCCCAAAGTGCACTCTGTAAACCCACACTTTGTTCTCCCTCCGTGCATGTCCTAGAGGAGAGCACTGGCGATGGACTGCTCTGACAGGGCCCAGGGAAGGAAAAGGCGCGGCGGGCACGAGAACGCACCAGCGGGCGGGAGCGGACCCGTGAACACCCTGTGCGCTTGGTACAGGGAGACGGGGAGAAGAGGCCGGTGGCCACAGCCGCTCATGTAGGGACGCCTGGGACACCCCACCCGGAGGACACGGCAGCCTGGGGCCGTGTATAAGTTGTGTAGTAATAACAGGATGGGTCTTTTTGCACAAAGATGTGGGAAAGATCATTTTTCCTCCAGATGTATACAAAAGTACTCATAAGTAGGGCCGTTTTTTAATATTTAATGCCATGTTTGTCTTTCATCATTCTGTTAGAGAATGTTATGGAATTTGACTTATGGGGCAATTGGATGGCCCCTATACTAGATGCAGCCTAGATCTTTGGACCCTTTTAAATTCACACAGGAGCATCTGTTTTCCAAATTTCTTTCATGGTTGTAGAATTTTCCTTAAATATTACATCCAGGCTTGGTCTCAATGTTGCCACGTGGGTGAGGACTCCTAGTGGGGGTGGGGTGGGGTGGGGTGGAGGGGATCTCTCTTTTCTTTTTTTTATCCTTGCCCCAGATTATTTTTTTCCATTGATTTTTCGAGAGATTGGAAGGGCAGGAGCAGGAGAGAAACATCAATTGGTTGCCTCCACACACGCCCCAGCCAGGGCTGGGAATCGAACCTGCAACCCAGGTACATGCCCTTGACCCAGAATCGAACCCTCGACCCTTTGGTGTGCGGGCCGACACTAACCACGGAGCCACACCAGCCAGGGTGGGTGGGGGGACCCTTTAATGGTCTAGCTTGTGTAGTTGCCAGTACATTTGATTTAAATTTGTGCTTGCATTTTTTTATCTCCTGTTGCTGGGATGGGTTGGTCAGCACTAGGAGGCTTGATGCTTGAAAAAGTCCAGCACTCGCTAAACAAAAAAGTATTTCTCTAAAAGTCAAGGTGTCTCATCGGTCACAATGGAAAGGAGAGAGGAGGCCAAGAAGAAGCATCTGCATGTGGTTCAACAGCATTTGCTTCATTTGCTGTTGAAAACGCTTGTCTTTAGTATATTCAAGAACCATTTGTTTTTAAAAGAGAAAAATCAGCCTGTCGGCTCTCGTTTCTTAATTTTGCTGCATAAAAGGCTTTGTCGAGATTAAGGCGAACATTCATTTTCAGCCTCTGGATGGCCTCGACCGCTTTCTGGAGTGCAGACCCCCTGTCTGTTTCCGTC